GTGGTCACGTGTGCAGCAGTCATCTACTGCTACCTCATGTTCGAAGATGACCTGTTGGAGCATGGGGACTGGGTGGAGTACGTGGCTTATGCCCTCATCATCATCTTCTCCTCCGCTGCCAACCTGGCTTCCATTGCCAACACCATCGCTGTTGAGAGAGATTGGATTGTAGAGATCTGCGGGCGTAATGAGGATAAACTTGCCAGTGAGTCTCCTGTTAAAGTAAAGTATAGGGCCTACCCCCCCTCCCCCAAACAATCTAAATTACCAGCTTCTGTAGTGTAGAGGTTAGGCGCCTCGCTGTCACATGCACATAGGGGCGTTAGAACACTTACTTTTTATTTACCCCCATATTTCTAACTGCTTGAATGAGTGCGCAACATATGATGTCACCATGGGTGTCAAACCGGGGGTGCAGTAGCTGTCCTAAAGGAACAGAAAACAGAGGGGTGTGATCGTCGCAATGTGCGAAGATATGGGGAGGTTATAGTTTTAATATTACCCAAGTTGCTCTTCTACTTGAGCTTTGGGGCTTGATCGCTAGGTGATGCCTCCCCTGTTCCATACGTTCCTATACAGTCTGATAATACGGCACTCCATAGCTTTGACGAGCCAGTCGGTCACTTCGTCGGTGACATAAAATGACGAAAGAAGAAAATTATGCACAGGCATGCTCTAGAGTTAAGGCACTAATAATATGCCAATCTTCAAGTCAAATACAACCAAACAGACATTCATTAACCCAGGTTAAATCCGCCCGCCTCAGACTTTCATCCATTCTTTATATTGTTCTCAAGAGGATAATATGTCTCCTTCCAAGGCCAGATACTCAGCAATGGACCATTTCGAACAAAACAGCGGCAAAAGAAAAACCTGCTCACGTCACTTTAAAAGTCATTGAACCGAAGGATGAAAGTCTGTATGCTGCTAAGTCAACAATATTAAATGCATATTGTAGATGATAATATCAGGGTCATTGATTCTCTCTACCGATGTTGTTTTAGGTCAACAATCAAGATAGTAGGCTGTAAGGAAGCTGTCTTTGTCCTAGTATTGACTTCTTGCTCCTTGCACTGTGAACTTCACGAGATAACGATTCAGTGATGTTTACAAATTGTAATACTAGGTTATGATGTAATAAGGAACAGAGAGTACAACATTGTACTTTTGAGAAACAGGTATACACGTAAGCTTATAATGATATACATTGTACACTTAAGATATTGGGTCTTGGGTTTCTCATAGATTTAGATCTTGTTCAGGGTGGGGAATTGAAGGCGATGTGAAGAAGTGTTTTCATACAAGTACAACAGGTGGTTGAAAGGATTCAGACAGGAGGATGATTTATAATTAGG